GGGCTGAGCAAGGCGGCTGAAGCCATCGGAGCGGCCAGAGCAAGGGGCCATGTGAGCAGCGGCCAAGGGCAGGTGCTTCGGGAGGAGTGAACAGAACTGGGCAGTTGTCAAACCATCCATCCCCTCTCCGCTTCCAGATGTCCCAGAGCGCGCACCCAGGAGGAGGGCGGGGTTGCACCCCGGACAATCTTGGCTAACGGCTAGGATGTCAGACGTGAAAAATGAGAATGGGGTAAAACAAAGCCCCCAATATTGCAGCAGTCTGGTAGCTCTGCGAATAGCTATTGATGGGCCTTTGCTCTGTGAAGTGATCTAATTCTTTTTTAACTTTATCATTCTAGCTTTAATAACATCCCTAGATGACACGTTTCAGAGGTTGTGCGGTGTGTGAAGTACTTCCTCTTGATAGCCTTAAGCCTGCTGTCTATTAGTTTCGTGACTGACAGTAGTGCACCCTGGTTTGATCTCCTCAGGGAACTGAATCCATCAGGAGACAGACACTGTGCATTCAGCCCTGTAGTGAGCTTTGTGGACTAGGCCATGCAATGGGTTTCTTCCATATCAAATAGTTGTCATTCAATGAAAAAGGTCTGAATTTAACACAATGGATAACTCTGATGTTGTAAACACAACGTCTGAAAAATACACTAACCAACATAATGTACAGGAAGGGGTGAGATAATGTCAGTCATTTAACTGTAGCTCTGCCTGCCTTGTCTTGTGTGCTTAATTGCAAGCATTGTCACTGCATAGTGTGTTTAGGCTTTCCCTGTAGAAAACTGTGAAATCAACATATAGAATTGAACATATGCAAGTTTGGGTAAACTGAATACTGAATTTTTACTCTGCTTTTATTTGATGATAGCTTAAAATGTGGAGTATGGGTGTCTCTTTTTACTAAAGAGCCTCAATGTATTATGTTGCACAAATCACCTTTCAGTGTTACATGTGCCCCAAATTCACTTAACTGAAATCCCAATCTTCAGATATTTAGTGGAACTTGTAGTTAATTCTGATGCAGAGTGTATTACTCTGCAGATCTGACATTTACTCAAACCAGGACAAACAAGCCATATCTAAAGGAAGTTTGACTAAGTGATGTTATAGATGTTTAAAGGTTCCTGAGTTTTTTGTCCATTGTTAAGACATATGTTAGCTGGAAAATTGGATAAAAGCTCAAACTTCCTAATTTAAACATAAGTACATTTTTATGGTTTTGTCAAAAGCTTCAAATATGCTACTTTAATTCAGGTTTTAATAATAATTGCAAGTATTTTACATATCTGTAAAGCCTTCCATCTAAGGACAAGAATGTTTTGCAAACATTAAGCCCCTTTCTGAGAGTGTGTGTTGTTTTTTTTTTTAAGTGAGGTGACAGGTTATCAGGATCAACTATAGAACTGGGAGAACAACCAGATTTTCTCAGTATTTTGCTTTAGCCCTTTCCTTCTTCCCTTAAACTCTAAACTTAGGCATGTTCAAACTGGAGTTTTGCCTCAGAAGTGAAAGAAATTCAAAGCTGAAAGGTCTTGCTGCTATTCCAACACTTCCCAGCATCATAGGTTTGCACTGGCTTTTTAAAAGCACAATGTTCCATACATTGTAAAGGTTAATAATGTTAACTGGTGTTTTCAACAGTGATTTGTTTTGTGTTCTTACTAAGACATAACAATCCAAGGCTATGTCTACACTGGCGGGTTCTTGCTCAAGAACAGCCGTTCTTCCACAGAGTGTCCACACTCCCCGCCTGCTCTTGCGCAAGAAGAGTTACAGTACGGCGTTGGAAGAGAGGGCTTCTTGCGCAAGAGCTATGCTCTTTTCTAACGGGTAAGTCCTCTTGCTCAAGAGCTCTTGCGCAAGAAGGCAATGTGGATGCGGGGCAAGGGTTTCTTGCACAAGAAAGCCCTATGACTAAAATGTCCATCAGAGCTTTCTTGCGCAAAAGAGTGTCCACACTGCCATGGATGCTCTTGCGCAAAAGCACATGACAGTGTGGACGTCTTCTTGCACAAGATGTTTTTGAGTAACAACCTGCTAGAAACTTCATTTAGGATTATACTGAGTAATCACTTTGTCTCTGTAGTATCCGGTTTTAAGCCTTATTCAAGACTGACTTTTTTCATTTAAAAAAAACCCCAAAAGCACTTGGAACTTTGCACATTTACACTCACAGAAAGAAAGATTTTTTTTTTGGTAAAGTTGGAAATAAATGTTTAAACATTATTAGGGCTTGTCTTCATGTACAGTGCTCTAGTAGTGCACGCTTTAGTGAAAACACTCCAATGCTGACAGAAGAGTTTCTCCTATTGATGGAGTTAATCCACCTTCCCAAGAAGCAGTAATGGCATTGGCAAGAGGAGTTGTCTGTCGGTGGGTGGTGAAGTTGGTATAACTGTTGCTCAGGGGTATGGATTTTTCACACCTTGAGTGATGTAGTTTTACCAGTATAGGTCTGTAGTATTGCTCTGGCCTCAGATAATTTATTTTTTGTGAAGATTGCACAGGATGGGGACCAGTAGAATAAACTTCACAGCTCAAATTAGTTTTAAAAGTCCTGGTACAAATCACAGTTGGTGGAATGTGGTCTGATTCTCATTTATTTGTTGTATGTTTGTCGTCAATCCTGGTATCCAAGTTTGTACCACCTGGAATTAGTTAAGTATTGATACTTCTTACAATCATGATACTAAGCAATAAAATCTTTCTCTCAATAGGCATCTTGGATTTTATGCAAAAGAGTGAAAAACCGTGGAATAAGCAGTGATCTTTTTTTATTCTGTTGATTTTGAGATCCTTTGTTGAACTGGTAGAAGATGCCAGCTGGGAAAGTTTTGCAGCCTGTACTAAAAATGAAAGTGGATGAACTCTTCCTGTGTTGGCTAAGCCAGCCAACAACTCAGGTGATGTTAAAGGATTGTTTGAGAAGGATTAAGAATGAAGAGAAGACTGAAATTGGTAGTGGAGATGCTGGGGACAATGAACCTCTCATTTTTACTAATAAAAACTCCCAATCTAAGCAAAGTATGCTAGATAACTTGATATCTCCTTTGGTGACTCCTTCCAGTCCTCCTCATCTTTCCACAGCTCTCCCACTGGGAACTTCAACTAGCCCAAGAAGCCTATCTAATCGAGGAATACGTAGATCTACAGGAACAAGAGTCGTAAGTTCCTTTGGTTTCTGAGACTTAAATTAGAATACTTCTGTAATAAGTGATTCTGAAAAACAGGGTGAGGATGAGTTATGAGGATGTTTTTGTTTCACTATTGCATTTCATCAGAAAGTGAATTAGTGGCATAAATCACATGTCTTTGCTAATACTTGTCTAAATCCCAAGAGAGTGACAGTCATAACTGATTGCTTGCTGGATTCTTGTTTTGCTTTTTTCATTTTGTTTTTCTCTCTCGAATCTCCAGTTCTTCAAAATTAGTACAGGTTGGATCTCCCTGGTCTGGCAATGTCAGGGCCTGACTCGTCCCAAACGAGAGAATTTTCTGGACCAGAGGAGGTGTCCCCTGCCACAGGCCCTGAGCCAGATGACCCTCTGCCTTTAGGGTCCTCTATTTCTCCTCGCCGCCCTCAAGCCAGACTGTCCACCCTGCTGCCACTGCCTCCCTGGTCCCGGGTTGTCATGGATGTCCAAGGTTCTCCAGCCCTCTGCCTCATACTGCTGCAGTTCCCTGGCCCTGTGCTGCTGCAGGTGGCCCAGGTTTCCCCAGCTCTGCACTGACACATGCTGCTGGGATTCTTCAGCCCTCAGCCCCATATTGCCCCAGGCAACTGGGATTCTCCAGCCCCTGGCTCCACACTGCCATGGGCAGCCAGATTTCCCTAGCTCCGTGCTGCTGCAGACTGTTGGGATTCTCCATCCCCACACTGCCATGGGCAGCCAAACTTCTTCCTCTGGTCGGCGGTCAAAAAGGCAAATAGGATGTTAGGAATTATTAAGAAAGGGATAGAAAATAAGACAGACTATCTTACTACCCTTGTATAAAACTATGGTATGCCCACATCTTGAATACTGTGTACAGATGTGGTCTCCTCACCTCAAAAAAGATATTTTGGCCTTGGAAAGGGTTCAGAAAAGGGCAACTAAAATGATTAGGGATTTGGAACAGATCCCATATGAAGAGAGGTTAAAGCGACTGGGACTTTTCAGTTTAGAAAAGAGGAGACTGAGGGGGGATATGATAGAGGTATATAAAATCATGAGTGGTGTGAAGAGGGTGAATAAAGAAAAGTTATTTATTAGTTCCCATAATAGAAGAACTAGAGGACACCAAATGAAGTTGATAGTTTTAAACCCGCTACCTAATAAAAGAAAGTTCTTCACACAGCGCGTAGTCAACCTGTGGAACTCCTTGCCAGAGGAGGCTGTGAAGGCTAGGACTACAACAGAGTTTAAAGAGACGCTAGATAATTTCCTGGAGGTTAGGTCCATAAAAGGCTATTATCCAGGGGATAGAAATGGTGTCCCTGGCCTCTGTTTGTCAGAGGCTGGAGAAGGATGGCAGGAGACGAATTGCTTGATCATTGTCTTCGGTCCACCCCCTCTGGGGCACCTGGTGCTGGCCACTGTTGGCAGACAGGCTACTGGGCTAGATGGACTTTTGGTCTGGCCCAGTACAGCCATTCTTATGTTCTTATGGTTCTGTGCTGCTGCAAGCTGCTGGATGTCTCCAGTCTGTCCCCAGCACTTCTGTGGGGCTCCAGTCCCATTGGCTCCGTCCGGGCTGCTGGCCCTCCTACCATTAGACTCCTGGGCTGTCTGGTCCAAAGCATTCGTGATCCTGCCACGAATATCAGTATATTGTCGGACCAGAGAATATCGGTTTTCAGAGGTTCAGCCTGTAGTGGTGGTGGTTAGTCCTTCAGTACTGTGAAGGTTAATGAAGTAATGTAAAAGGTAATTTAAATTCTGAGAAAACAATAAACTAGACGTTCAGTACTGTGAAGGTTAATGAAGTAATGTCAAAGGTAATTTAAATTCTGAGAACAATAAACTATACATGACGTACCACACTGAATGCTACCTGTGCAGGAAAATCTTTCCCTCCTAGATTAGAAATTGTAGAAAATTGTTGTTTTTTAGTTTGAATAGCTGTTTTAATAAACTCACCATCTAAGTTTATTTCCGCTCTTATGCTGGTGTGCATCTGTACTAGTGTCTGAAATTGGCATTTCATTTGGCCTAAGCAGTAGAGTATAGACTTCCAACCAGAGATGTCCATTTGTAAGCTCAAGTTAACTGAATATCCACATATCACTTTTCCCGGTACTAATACAGTGCATTTTACCAGTTTAAAAAATATACAATACATGCCTAACTCAGTCCAAAAGGAGTGATACCAATAGAAGGACAATGTCCTGGTGAGAAGACTAGGCCCACATTTTTAAAGATACTTGGGTGTTTCTTTATTCAGCATTGCATACCTAACTCTGTTTGCCTTAGACTCCAAAATCACTTTGAATCGGCTTCATTTCCCTCTGCCGATCTGTCTAATCTACATGCCTCCGTCGACGGAGGCATGTAGTCTAGACACACCCTTCGACTCCAAAATCACTTTGAATAGGAGGCTTAAACTGCATTGCAGTGCCAAGTGAAGCAACATCTAAATTAAGGATGTTAAATTGCAGTTAATTGACTAGTAGAGTAGTGGATGGAATTTCCCTTCACTAGTCGATTGGCACTTCTGCATTCCGTCTTTGAAATGTACAAGAACCCCTGCTTCTCTGTAGCTTAACTGGTATTTTGCCCTTTGATTCTGGAGGGTTATCATTTCTATCCTTTTCTGTCTAATATGTATCTAAACTTGAACTTAATCTGTATGGTGCAGAATCCAAATGATTCATTGCCTCATATAAATGAACTTTGTTGTGGGAGTCCGGTTTTAACTGTGTGCCTTTCTTTCCATTTGTTCCATTTATGGTGATATCATAGATGCTTTCGAGTTGAATTTTCAGTGGAAGACTGCTAACTGTAGAATTTCTTATCCACAAGATCAGAATGAGTCTTGGGTTTTTTCCCCAAATACCAATAGCTGCAGAATGGTTTTAAAATTTCTCAGTGAAAATATGCCCCAGAAATTATCTTCATTGTGAAAGCTTCATAAAATAGCATGAACGCGGAGAATTTAGTTGTGCCAGAAATTATCTTCATTGTGAAAGCTTGATAAAATAGCATGAACGTGGAGAATTTAGTTATGTAGACTAATGCTCTTTTGTTATGCAGATACTATTGGGTGCATTACAAATTCATGAATTCATAGAAATTTCATATCAAAGTAGTAGTGGAGCCAATTTTTTTATTGATTTCCAGTGAGTAAGACAGTCTGGTATCTGGTTTCCAGCACTTTTCTGACTGGAAAGGAAAAGCTAAGGGTTGGGGATGGGATGGAGAATATCCACATATCATGGATCATTGTTGGATTTATAGCATACTATAGTTAGAAAGAAAGAGAAACATAACCTATGACCTGGTCAACCAGATTTTCTGCCAGTCTTTCTGCATGAATTTGTCCAGGCTCAGACAGGAGCCCTGAGTGCAGGAATACCATTTGTTTGGAAGGCCAGAGATGAAAGCTTATAGACTCTAGATGCCAAATCTCTGCCATATATGTGAAGTAGTGCTGATTATCCAGATATAGTGATACAGTAGTTACAGTGTGATATTCTTTCTCTCTGAGTGTGAGAGGAGTTTTTTCCTGTCAGTCAACAGAATGTTCTTGCTGGGTGACAGAGAGGCTCTGTCAGTGAAGCAAAAGCAGCCAGAGAGAGAGGGGTAGGTGAGCGTAGTGAGCAGAGAGCGCACCCCCTAGTACCTTTACAAAGCTAGCTTTTTCTTTAGTTAAGATTAGGTCTGAGGAAAAGATATTTTGCTACTTATTCTTATTTTGCTTCTGCCATAAAGCAGAGACTAGATAAACATTTGTGAAGACATTCTCTCTCCCTGTGTTAATAAGCTTACTAGGCACAATGTTTTTTATGGAACCTCAGACTTGTTTTAACTTAAATAGAAAGTACAGGAGACCCTTGCAATTTGCGGAATTGTTATTCACAGTTCCACATATTTGTGGGAGTCTCCTCTCCCTACCTGCATTGGGAGTCTCCTCTCCCTACCATGTGTGTGACAGGGGCCAGGAACTGTGGGAATCACAACCTAGCTGCCAGGAACCATGTTTCCTGGCCCCAGGGAGGTCACTGCAGGTGCCATGAATCATGGCTCCCAATATCCACAAATTTCACCATTTACCCCCCCCCCCCCCCCCCAGTTTAATCAGTTAGCCAACTGAGTTAATGTTTAACTGGTTAACTACTTAAATGGGATTTTACATCCCTAATGTGCACTCAAGGGGTGTGAATTCTCACGTGAATCAACATGTTACCCACTAATTGGGCCATATAGACCTTTCTGGCATGTGCTAAAAGTTCTTGCTGCCCATTAATATAATGCGGTTTGAAATAGGGATGTGAAAGATTAACCGGTGGCACCTGGAACAGCTCCCCACCGGCCATGGGCAGGGGGCTGCTCCAGCCCTGCAGGGGGCCTACAGGTGCTGTCCCCATAGATCCCATTGACTGGGACCAGCGAACTGCGACCTCTGGGAGCTGGGAGGTTCAGCAAAATCTCTAGCAGCCAACAGTCAAATAAGCCTGATGGGCCACAGGGTGTCTACCACTGAGTTATTCAATTCAAGGGTACGTCATCTGATCTACAGGATTGCTTTACTGGCTTAATAGCACTGTATTAATTTTCAGATCTAGTCAAGTAATCTGCTGTTTTGAATTTGAATAAAGATGCTCCCCAAACGCAGGGTGGAGTTGAAGTGTACTACAGAATTTATCTAGCTTTGTTGATTATAAGAATGCAGTGAGAATAGTTGCTTCGTGTTTGCAGCCTGAAAACTTATTATTAAGTACCTAATTATCTATCTGTAGCCTTGAAGTTCCTATAATAGCAGAGCAGGTGGCAAATGAATGACTTGGACTTCCATTATCAAAAGTAGGCAAAACTACTGAAGCCTCAACCTTAAATTCCACTGCAATAGACACCAGAATTTATTCTGATTTTACTGTAACATAAGGATAGTTTTATAAATATATTGAAAGTAATAATTTATTAGCTGTTTGACAGCAACGAATTAAAGCAGCTCTTGTTGCCAC